TCCCCTCCCCTCCCCTCCCCTCCCCTCCCCTTGCTGCTCACCCTATCATGACAAACATCTTTGCTAATACGGATCACCCACATAAAGCACTAGGTCAACTACTCCAAGCTGCTTTTTCAAACAGGTTTGCAATGTGGTTAGGCTCAGACTTGTATTTTTCTACAGTCTATCAGTGCTTTCCCATCTTGCATAATCATCATCCACAGAATTGGGTTTTCTCTTGTCAGCTTGAAGGGCACATGAAACCGTCCGAAACCACCGCACGGTCCTCAGGACATACCCCTCACTACAGAAACATTTGCAGCTTGCAAGTCCAAAGAAAAACATCATTAAAACACAACTCAGTAAAGCTATTGTTAAGGGCTGGAAATCCACCCTTTGCTGCGGATGGGTGTGGATTCTAACATTGCTGGCTCTTCACTCAAAACCAAAATTACAATGAGCTGCTGAAAAATACATTTGTCAAAGACAGGGCCTTGGGGCTCTACAATATTTCAACTGGAAACATGGTAATTATCCTCTTCTACCTAAAAATTTAACTATTTATTAGTTGATAGGAGAACAAAAAAAAAAAAAGATCAAGGTGTAAAATGATTGAAACTTTGCAGCGCCTTCAAAGAACTAAAAGGAAAAATTAAGAAGTCAGAAAAATGTAATTGTGCTATGAAGTGAGATACTAAATACTGTAGTTTCACTGTTTTCTTCTGGGGTTTCCCATAATACTGACATCACTGTCACAAATCCCAAAGCCATACGCAGCCCCTTCCGTGGTTCTCATCTCAGACTGTTATAAAAGGTGACACCTGTTTGTAGAAGAATGTAGAGCAATCCACTTCAAAAACAGCAAACTCAGTTAATATATGTCACTGGGTTATTAATCACCCACCAACTCTCAGTCTTTGTTGCTCTCTTATACTAAGTCTTCACGTGCATTTTGAAACAACACATTCTGTTTCCAACCAACGGTGGTGCTCAGGGACAGCACTCTTGAAACACGCTGATAAGTGAGACCATCCAAATTGAAAAGTAAAACAGGGAAGGGGAAAACAAATACAGATCAATTCCACCTGTCCTTTCTGAAGCAGAATCCAATCCCTACACAACATTTCTGGCACTCAGTTAACCTCCTGGAGGTGTGCTGTGTTTAGCATTCATCTAAAATAACATTTCAGGATTCATATTTAAAAGCCCTACTTGTAAAAGAGAATAATTATCAACAGAAAAGTATCAATTTGGGTTCAAAAAATTAGGGAAGAAAAGAGTAGTAGAAGCTAGAAATCCACACTTTCTTTTTGCTTTTTTTTTTTTTTATACCAGTACTAGTAATTGTTTGAACAATAACACTAGATTTTATTTTGCCCTTGACAAGCCACTGCCAAACTTCAAGCGAACACAGCTAAGTGTGCACACATAGGGGCTGCTAAACCCATCCATCTAATCTCAGTATGTTCATCAGTTGACATACTCCAAAACTTCATGAAACAATGTGACTTTCTGCTGAAACTGATCATCTCATGCCATATAGCAGAAATTCCAGTGACAATCTCTTTTGCTCCAAGACACTTCAATTACTCACTATCTACAGCCACTAAATAGAGCAGTCCCAGGGCTGCATTAAGTTGCAAAACGCTTGGCTGGTAGAACTTGTTTTCTGGCCATTGTTCAAAACAATTGTTGCTATG